TATTGAGTATGCGTATTTCTCCTTTCAACAAGGTGAAAAAACTGCCGATGGTGCCGCTGATGGAATCATTAAGTAGAAAGCAGCGCACGCACAGTCGGCTTGGGACCGAGGCCACGGATCCCATCTGCAGTCGACCCAACAACCACTCTGAACATTGGCCAGGATGACAACTAAACCCCAACGCCTGGATGGGGCCTCTCCACACCGTGCGGGCCGTGGGTGTTACATATGACCATACTTCACCACGCTGGGCAGAGCGGGTTGTTGAAGGTGGGGAGCACCGTGCATTTTGCTACACCACCCTCTGCTGCCCAGTACGTAGCCCTGCAGCAGCCGAGTACACCCTGCTGTGCATGGCGGTTACCCACCCAACAACATAACCAGGTTCAAACCGCTTAGCTTCTGAGATTTAATGGAATCGGCCGCATTCCGCGTGATTTGGTCATAGGTCTGAATAACAGTAACACGCATTCGATTTGCAGTCATACGCTTTACTCAGAAAAGCCTCGCTGAGTCGCAGGACTATTTTGATGTTGCCAATGGACACGGGAAATAAATCCAAACATTCCAAACAAATCTTTCTGCTGATCGAATGAAACATGTAGACACTGAGCAGGCATAGGCTCACAAGGGCAAATAACTCGAAGCATTTTTCAGGAACATGGCCTCATGAGAGATATACTGGTAGGAACCTCGTGGTTACACCAGCCCCCAGGGGATTATTGTGTCCGTCGTGCAGGGAGGGGCTGGGTGGGGAGGGTGGGGAGGGGCTGGGTGGAGAGGGGAGTGTGGGGAGGGGCTGGGTGGGGAAGGGCTGGGTAGAGAGGGGAGTGTGTGGAGGGGCTGGGTGGGGAGGATGAGGTTGGGTGGGGGGTGGGAGGGGTGGGGCTGGGTGGGGTGGGGCTGGGTGGGGAGGGGCTGGTCACCCCGTGGTGCCCTTATAAAACTCAACGTTTAACCTACTCAGGCCGGCTTGTGCCCGCCCTCACAGTCGGGCATATTTGCGGAATACACCACGCCGCCGTTGACCCTGGCCATTGACCGAGCAACCGAACGTTCCTACCAGCTCCCTCCGCAGGAATGTGTCATATTGGGATACTTGGTCAATTCTATTCATGAGTTTTAACTTCGTGTTGGAGGATGTCTGGAAAAAAACCCACGCGTGCGAGTGGGTATCTCTATCCTATACAGATGAGCCATCTGCAGATAAGCCCACATTTGCTGTAACGCATTGTCCTGGCTATTCCTCGTATGCATGTTTTATTCCTCGGTTTAATTTTTCCGCTATGACGTGAGGCGGTACGAAACAAGAAACAGCCCTGACGACATAAAACACTGCAGTGGCGTTTCCATAAACAAGAGGAATTCCTCTCGGGGTTGATTTAGAGATGCTTTCGTGCGGACGCAAATATCCCCGGACAGAGACGGACCGCGTTGTTTTTTTTAATCACGACAACAATGTCTGCAATGTGAGACTCGCGACCTCTCGACCCCAGCAGACCCGCCCGTCACCTCCCTCCTCTCCACGACCTCACACACTCGCGTTTCCACAGCTAATCTAAAGGCTTCCAAACGCCCCCGGGAAATTCTAGATTTGAAGCTTTCGTGACCGCAAGGATTCATACTCTTAGGTTTTTTTTCGGTAAAGTCACGTAGGGGAAAAGAAATAAATAAATAGTAAAACATTTGAAAAATACTAATAATAGAAATCTAATATTACATAAACTTTTTTATTATTAATTTTTCCTTATTTATTTTTACCTACGTGACTTTACCGAAAAAAAACCTAAGAGTATGTATGAGTCCCCGGGAAAGTATGTGTATGGCCCATCAACGTCCCACGACTTTCTCCACGTGGAGTGGTGCCCTACTCCAGCAGCGAATTGGCACAAGGGCCGTTGCACACGTGTACACTACGTGCGCAAGTGCTATGCGAACTCAAAACACTCATTAATCGAATTCACGAGCAGACGTCCTAAAATTTAGCCGCGGGACCCTCTTGAAACGCAGCGTCTTGAGACTCAGTAAGGTATCCCTGGGTAAATAAATAAACTGCATTGTACTATTTGTGTAATTCATGGGTGGCTCTGTGGGAATGGGACCGTGTGGAGCCCGTGGCAGCTGCAGCCGTGGGAAGAATTGGGGATACGACGAGAGGGAGTTCCTGGGTCCATGTGGTCGGTGCTGCCGGAGTGTCGGGGACGGGACCCCAGGGCGGGGTGACATGCGTCTGTCGTTGCGACCCAGGCTATATTTGACAGCAGTCGAGCAGGCGCCCGGCTAAGTCTGTCCCCTGTCTGCGTCTATCTACGTGTGTCTGTGTGTCCACGTCTGTCTGTCTGTGTATTTCAAGCTGTCCATATCTGTCCGTGCCTGAATGTGTCTGTATGTAGGTCCGTGTTGTTGTCCCGGTCTTCATAGGTGCTCGCAAGCAGCACTTGCTCCTACAGTCTATGGCTATGCGGGGGATCTTTGTCTCTGTTGTTTGTTACGTGTGCGTCTCTCGGTCTGCCTGTCTGCCTGTCTGCTCGTGCCTGTCCTCGTCTGTGAGTGCCTGTCCGCCCGGGCTGACTGCGTGGGAAGAATCCCTTCGCAATGACCCACGCGCGTGGGGGCATGGAGGGGCTGAGTGTGGCGGGTGTGAAGAGACGGGGTGAGTGAGGAGACGGGGTGAGGATGAGGAGATGGGGTGAGGATGAGGTGACGGGGTGAGGCGAGAGAGTAAGGGTGAGGGAGGGAGGAAGCACGGAGCAGGATAAGGCATGCGAGTGAGCCAGGAGGGTGAGTCAGGAGGGTGAGGAAGAGTATGCGAGATGAGGGTTTAGGGTGAGAAGAGTGCGAGGGGTGAGCCAGGAGGGTAAGGGAGATGGGTGAGGGTTTAGGGAGGGAAAAAAGGGCAAGTCGGGAGGGTGAGGGATGGGTGATGATTGATGGGCTGGAGAGGGAAAGTCCGCATTCCGCTGCGAGCGTGGGGAATGTATCTCTGCTCTCGAGCAGAGCCGCCACATTCGACAGCGAACTAATAATTACCGTGACAATAATAGCAGCAGTAATAACACTGTACCCGTATAGACATCATCATCATCATACAACTAACTACCCACTGAGCCTGCAGCAGCAGGGTGAGGCCCTCAGGGGACTGCGGCCGCAATGACGCCCCTCTGTTCGGTAGCTTCGTACCCGACTTGTTCGCGAATTATCTCACAAGTACACACTGAACACCGAGGCGAAGAGTCACCACTATCATTGGACTTTGTAAGTCGTTCAATACAAAACATTTGAGAAGAACGGGAAACTATGTTAGCCGCCAGGTGGAAATCGCCGTTGAGTGATTATGGAGTTGTGCCGCATGCGATTAAAGCCAACGCGGACGCAGAGCTGGGGATGATGAAGATGATGGTGGTGGGTGATTCAGTCGGCACAGGACAATGACACGTGTGTTAATTCTGCAGACATGACGTCACCCGCTCAGCTGGGGTGACGTCATCCGCTCAGCTGGGGTGACGTCACCCCAATTAATGTTTTAAACGTCATCATTCGCCTGGTGTGTTGGGATTATGGCGTGAATAAGCAGTGTGGCATTCAGATAAAAACATGTAAAAGTCATTGAAGAAAATAAATATAAAAGTATGTACTGTGCTTCAAATAGTATATTGTCTCGATTTAAAGCTTTCGTGACTGCAGGGATTCATCTTCTTGGTTCTTTCGGTAAAGTCACGTCGAATGGAAATAATAAAATGATAAAAAGAAAACATAAAAAAATAAAAAAACACCTTTTATTATGTGTAACTTTTATTATTTTATTATTTCCCTTCTACGTGACTTTACCAAAACAACCAAGAAGAAGATAGTATATTGTCATTTAATTATGTATTAAAAACAACACTCAACACATTCCGTGTCAAATGAGACTGGGTGTGTGGTCTTAAAGGATCAAAAATATAATCGGCGACGTTTCGGGCAATGCCCCTTCTTCAGTAGCACATACATTAATGTATATTCACATCAGCGCTCGGACTCGATGGTGAGGGGTGAAACGATTCGATCTATTCCCAGGGGGGGAATCTCCAGGGGATAATCAATTCCCGTGATTGTATTGCATTCATAGAATCGCACGCTTTTAAAACCAATTGCGCCCGATCCACGTGGTCAAATTAAACTGTTTTACGTTTGTTGCATGGAACCTGCAACTACTGCAGCACAACTGGACTCAGTACTCGATACTAAAACTGCGATTACAACTCTGGATCGATTATTAAATGTACTCGATATCAGCGATACGATGAATCAAAACTCTGTTGTGGATTATGGTGGCGATATTGCTGCGTTGACAGTGGCGCACGGCCACATGAAATTAATTAAACTCAACACGTTTCGTTGTCAATAAATGCTGCCTTAAAGTATATAAAAACGACGTTTCGGGCAATGGCCATTCATAGCATTCCCATGTCAGAATCAGAATATTTAGAAGAATCCGATGAGCTGTGAAGCTCATTTTAAACGCATGATGGCCACTAGAGGGCCACTGCCCGAAACGTCATTATAATTATAATTTCCTCCGCAAGCCACAGAGAGATGAACGTGTCGAGGGAGAGAGAGGGGAGAGTCATCTTCTTGATTCATTCGGTAAAGTCCCGTAGAAGGGAAATAATAAAATAATAAAGATAAAACAATAAAATAATTCTCACGACGTTTCGGCCACAACACAAACAGCCGTCCTCAGGTGAAGAATGAAAAAGGGGGGGGGGGGTGTTCGAGTTCACGCGCAGCATTCTCCTCCGCCATCTTGCTCAGGGAAGTTCCGCTGTGTTCTTACGCGGTGACGTCACGCCGCTGACTCCCCCCCCCCCCGTGACAGGGGCAACTGCTGCGCCTCTCTCCCTACGCAACATGGCCGCGCGTCGGCCGGCGGGGGTGGTGGGGGCGGGTGGGGGCGGGTGGGGGAGCGGTTGGGGGTGGGGGCGAGTGGGGGGTGGGTGACGTCATCGGCGTGGCGGGGCGGCCCCCATCGGTGCCCGGCGAGGGGGTCCCGGGCGGTTCGCAGAGACGGCGGCAGTGGAAGCCACGCGGACAGCGGCAGCAGCAGCAGCAGCAACAGCCAAAGCAGCGGCATTTGAAGCCACAGCAGTGACAGCAGCGGCATTTGTTTGAACCAGCAGCAGTATCTGAAGCGGCAGCAGTTGACAGCCAGCGGTGGAAGCGATAGAAGCATCCTCAGCAGCAGCAGCAGTAGAAATCTAAGCAGCGACATCGGCAGCAACGCAAGCTTCAGTACCAGCAGCAGCAGCAGTAGCAGCAGCAGCAGCATCAGCCGCCACCATGTTCAGCTGGTCAAATAAGGACGCGACGGACGGCAAGAACCCGGAGATGTTCCAGACGGTGTCGGGCGGCCTCAAGAAGCTGTACCGCACCCGGCTGCTCCCGCTGGAGGAGCACTATTCGTTCCACTCGTTCCACTCGCCCGCGCTGGAGGATGCAGACTTCGACAACAAGCCCATGGTGCTGCTGGTGGGGCAGTACTCGACGGGCAAGACCACCTTCATCCGCTACCTGCTCGAGCAGGACTTCCCCGGCATCCGCATCGGGCCCGAGCCCACCACGGACTCGTTCATCGCCGTGATGCACGGCGACACGGAGGGCACCATCCCGGGCAACGCGCTCGTGGTGGACCCCAAGAAGCCCTTTCGAAAGCTCAACGCGTTCGGGAACTCGTTTCTCAACAGGTAACCACCCCTGGGGGTGGGTGGGTAGGGTGGTGGTGGTGATGGGTGGGTAGGGGAAGATTGTCAGCCTGGGGGTTATAATTGAGATGGTCAGGTGGGGGGAGGATGAAGAACTGAGATGGGAAGGTGGGATGGTGGGATGGGACTGAAGGAGGTTCGGGTGTGACGGGGAAGAGGGTGGATGATGAGGGAGCTGTGATGAGACGGGATGAGAAGAAGGGCTGTGAATAGAGGGATTTGGTGTGGTCAGGGTAGACGGGAAGGGAGAGGTGGAAAGAGTGTGGGGAAGGAAGGATGAGGTGAGAAATAAACGAATTGTTTGGTTAGATAGTACTGCGGTGGGCTTAATGGATAGTGAAGGACGAGATGGCAGGCTCTGTTTATTCATCGGTGGAGACGCGTCCCATCGTGCATTATGTTGGGTGTTGCGAGGTTTGTGCCGTGTGATGGGGGCTGTGTGAGATTGCTTCGGGACTGGGGGTAGGGCGGATTGTGGGGGGTCAAGGACGGCAGGAGGACGAGGGAACGTGGAGTGGACCGTTGTATTGAGTCATGGGGTTCTGTGTCATCAGGGGTGTGCAGGGGTACGTTATGTAACCTCGTTATGCAATGCGGTGTTTCTCACCTGGGCAGGTAAGGGCAGGGATGATGCACACCTGGGTGGGGTAGTTGACCAACATCCCACATGTATAGACAATCCTCTGAGTATGATATACACCAGAGATAAATAACTTAGGTTAAATTTCGATTTAACGCTTTCGTGACTGCAGGGATTCATATTCTTGGTTCTTTCGGTAAGTCACGTAGAAGGGAAATAATAAAATAATAAAATTGAACGTCATGAGAATTGTATTGTTTTATTTTTTATTATTTTATTATTTTCCTTCTACGTGACTTTACCGAAAGAACCAAGAACTTGGGTTAAGCCAAGTTATTTAGCTTTCTTGTGCGATTTAATTAATTAATGCTTTGAACATTTGTCCTTACGGAAATGTTTAGCTGGGTTCCCTACTGGGAATACAGGGAACGGACTTCCATATCCACAATAGAGGAAGTCATTTAATTTGCAATAAAATAACGTATTTTAAAAAAATCGTCTTATTTCTGAAAATACAAAATTCTTGTTTTATAGTTTAATATGTATACAGTATATATTTATGACCCTTGGGCTACACCCATTTCAAACCTTTTAAAACAATCTGCCTGAGCAGCAGACCATGCTTTCCCACCCGATGACGGACGCTTGTGTTGCGCCCGAAACGTCGTGATTTATTTTATGTTATTCCTACGTGACTTTACCGAAATAACCAAAGAGTACACAGTATTTATTCTTAAGGCGCTCACTCGTCCGTGTCACTCTAACTTGGTGGCCCACCTACCCCTCTGACGCACACTCACGCACCGCTTCCCTGGCACCCCCCCAACGGCGATTCAATGAATTGTCGCGAATTAGGGTCATGATTTTTGCTCCAATAATATAATCATTCATCCCGTTTAACTTTGTGGCGAACAAAAATAATAATTGTAAGCCGTTTGTCAACCCACTGCTGGATGGAGACTGTGTCAATCGTACGGCTCGATTGACTATGCAGTTACCGCACGTGTGATCTATGTTGAACTTCTTTCGCATGATACGTCGCCAACCGTGCTGCTAATCGGAGATCGAAACGGGGATGAGGTTCACCTTTGGGAAGGGGACGGTGGAGGGGGGCAGTTGACCACAACACCGCATTTTCAGGTGACCTGGCCTGTGAGGGGTGAGGCAGAGGTCCGAGCACCCTTCTGACATGTCCCGTGTAGCTCTGAAACCTACCAACCTCGTCCTTGACACGCAATATGAGGGTCACCTTTGGGAAGGGGACGGTGGAGGGGGGCAGTTGACCACAACACCGCATTTTCAGGTGACCTGGCCTGTGAGGGGTGAGGCAGAGGTCCGAGCACCCTTCTGACATGTCCCGCGTAACTCTGGAACCGACCAACCTCGTCCTTGACACGCAGTGGTGCTCTGGAACTCGTCGCCCTTCACAGCTGTCTTTCTACCCGATTGCAACACGCAGTGCCAGATTCGTCCAAATCGCCGATTCTCTCAACGGTTGGTGACGGAGTCATCAACGGATTGTCGCCAAACATCTGATGAGGAGGAAACTTTGGCCAGCAGATCCGTGGATCACTTCCCAGAGTCTCCAGCCAACAGTCGCCCGCCACCCCTGGTCTCTGTGGCGCTCATGGTAACTGTGGTTAACAATAGAGCTCGACTTGACGTGGTCAGCAAATCTCTGTTGGAGATTATACGAAGAACACGTTATCAGGAGACGGCACACTGATAATGGAGCGCTCGAAGGTGTCGTTAGGGTGTACGGTACTGCTCCTTATCCCATGCCCATATCAGTGGCATATTTCCTGAAGGGGGTAAGGTCATACTTCCCCAGCCCTCCAAATCTGTTTTATCTCTTGTATATCTACATTCAATGCCCTCTCTTCCCTCTCATCAGTCATCACAATGGGGGCTGAACAAACGTCGTCTTCCACTGCTTGCCGTCTCTGGTCATGGCGATCGCTTCCTGTATCGTCGTCAGAAAAGCACAGGCGACAAAGGCTTGTTGGGCCAACCAGAGTGTCCACATGTCGCTTCCTGCAGACCTCCGCGTTTCTCTGTTAAGTCCTCCTTTGCGCCGTCAATCCACCTCTTGTGTGGATTGGCCTCCAGTTTCTCATTTCACATGGTAGCGCAAGGCCATTTATGGTCATTTGTTTGGCCTCCATTCTCCGTACGCATCCAAGCCAAATAATTATTGTGTCTTTGTATAATTTTGCACCAGTCTCCTGCTGGTTTAGCTCTTTCCTCTTGGCCGCATTTCTTAGTCGCTGTAGTTTCGACCCAGGAGATTGTGGTGTGAATCCCACGTCGCTGTGTTGATGATGCCAGGTGAAGAAATAGCAGAATTTTGTTACACTACGATGCGAAGTTTTGATATCCATTCAAGAGCTTCGGGAGATGCGGAGTGAATTTCGGAGGTGTTGACGGGCAATGAGTAAGTAACAGGGGACAGTTCTCGTTCAATTGTTTGAAGTTGTTTACCACAATCGCTTTGTCTGTGGAGTGCCCTTGAGTCTCCATTGATGCATGAGGTACCTCCTCTTTTGGAGGTGCGAGTCTGCTACTGCCCCCCCACCCCACCCTTTACCAAATATAGTAGGTTCCGTGCCTGGAGGCATTAGTTACAGAGATGTGGAGTGTACCATCGCTCATAGGGGTGGCACCCAACCTTCCTGTGTCTGGCCCTGGCAGTGAAGCAGGTAAGCATTTGCTGAGCAAGGAGGTGGAGGTCACCTGTGACAATGGCGTGGTCAAAATCGGTGTGTCAGCACGATAGGGTTTTCCTTGATTGAGTGATAACGTTGGCCGTGTGTCTACCGTGCGAGTGTGTGGTGTGTGTCCGTGCGTGTGTATGTTCAGTCACACCCCAAATTCCAGTCAATATGTGAACATAACCTCCAGTCGCCACGCCAACAGCACATACAGTACAATAACGCCCCCCCATCCCCGGGTCCCGACAAACTTCTTGAGAGAGAGTGCCACTGGGGTGGATGCGGCGGCGCCGTGGGGTGGTGTGTAACCCAAGCAGTGCAGGGCACGGCGTGTCCGTGTGTCCGTGTGCGGGGAGCGGTCGCTAGTGCGTTACAAACCCGCTAACCCGACTTCGAATTCCCACTCACGACCAATAAGAGTGGCGAATATTTGAACCGGTCCTGGGCCTCTCGGCCATAAATGAGTAACCCTGGTGTGGTGTGTAAACACCAGCACTGGGGAGACAAAGGCGGCCAGCCATGGTGTTGGCAGTGTTTGCCCCAACAGGACGTTAAAAGCTACACGGGGGGGGGGGGTTCTTTGTTGTGTGTCTATGTGTGTGTCTTTGTGTGCCACTCGGTGTGTGTGTGCCAAGGTGTATTTATGTGTGCCCTAACGTCGCATGGACACGTGTTCACGTGGTAAAATTAAATCAACCCTTGGTTTTCACTGTGACGCAGAGTCGGTCTAACCATCACCACCACCACCATGTGGAGGGGGAAGTCGCGGGTTCGGAAGTCGCTTTTCATTGTCATCATCGGCCCCATTAACGGCGTTTATTGATATTGGGCCCCACACAAGTATAAGACAATCCCCGAAGCGCCAAAACAATTACAAAGTACAATTGAACAGAGCACTGTACCCACAAAGTTAGAATAGGAAAAAAGTTTCCAAGGCAACGAAAACATGTTGTTTATTCTGGGCTCTATAATAAATAGCTTAGAAGGGGTCGTGCACGGTGACATCAGTGTTTGCTTCAGATTGACTAATTATTACACAATTTCTCAAACAATAGGTCAGAGCAGTGAGCTGCGGTATCGCTGAGCCCTGACACCGCTGAGATCTTTCTGGGTTTGAATCCAGGCACCTGCCTGTGACTACACCGGGTTCTCTTTACAGTATTGAGTTGAGATGGTCTCAGCTCGGTCATTAATAAAATATAATCGCACAGACAAACATCACATTCAATTTGAATCGGAGAATTGCCAATGCTGTTATGGACTGTCATGTGCTGTCCTCTGCTGTATGGAGCAGATGTCAACTTAAGGCACCTCAGAAGTAGTTGCGTGATATTTTCCTGCATGGGTTATTCTTTTACACGAAGGATGCCATCTCTGTGCAAGAGTTCCGAATGAATGCTTAACGCAGAAAAAAAATATCCATTAAAATAGTAATTTTGTTCTGTACTGCATTTGGCTAAATACCATACTGTTGTGATAAATATTACGACCATATTCAGAGTGGGTGGGAAAGTGCTGCCCTCTACGGCGTGTACCAGAGGTCACGGAGTTATATCATAAGTAGTTCTGTGACCTCTGCTTCTGTTGGTTAAAGACTAATACGAAGGGTGAATATTTTTAATCTCCCGATATGGTACCAAGAGTATAATTGGTATAAAATTGTAGGAGAAAAAAACTGACAAAAAATTTTC